CCTCTCAGGGTAATAGTTGTCAGTAATTAAGACTCGTGTATTTTATCTTAAGAGGATATTATCGATTTTTTTTGTTCACACTCATCGACCCCTCACACCGTGTGTGAGTGGGGAGGGGGGAGGGTATACTTGTTTACCTGTGGGGGGTGAAGGGGTGCGTGTACCAACTTACTGTGGGGGGGGGGGGCGACAGGTAACTTGGTACCCCCCCCCCTTCACACGGTAAGCAGGTACCCTCATCCCCGAAGCCCCCCCCCCTCATCTCCCCCGATATGTCGTCACACACACACACACATCGGATACCGAAACCAAAAGGTTAGCATACCGAAAGGGAAACTATGAGGGGATAAGAAAATTCCTAACAGATATAGCATGGGAAACAGAGCTCAGGGGAAAGACGGCCCAAGATATGATGGATTACATCACGCAGAAGTGCAAGGACGCAGCAAACAAGTTTGTCCCAGTCCAAAAGGAAAACAGAGAAATGAAGATGAGAAACCCATGGTTTAATCAGAGATGTAGGCTAGCTAAGCAGCAAAGTAAAAGGGCATGGAGAAACTATAGGAATAACAGGACACTGGAGAGCAGAGAAAGATACCAGAATGCCAGGAATGAATATGTCAGGATGAGAAGAGAGGCAGAAAGACAATACGAAAATGACGTCGCAAGCAAGGCAAAGACTCAGCCTAAATTGTTGCATAGCCACATTAGGAGAAAAACAACAGTAAAGGAACAGGTTATGAGATTAAGGATAGGGGCGGAAGGATTCACTACAAATGACAAGGAAGTGTGTGAGGAGTTGAATAAGAAATTCCAGGAGGTCTTCACCTTAGAGCAAGGAGAAATTCCAGAGGTAAGTGAGGGAATAGCTAACCAGGAACCACTGGAAGAGTTTGAGATTACCAGTGGGGAAGTAAGGAAGTGTTTACTAGAGTTGGACGTAACGAAGGCTATAGGCCCAGATGGAATCTCCCCTTGGGTTCTAAAGGAAGGAGCAAGAGAACTGTGCCTACCACTCTCCATAGTGTATAACAAATCACTGGCAACAGGGGAACTGCCAGATATTTGGAAAGCAGCTAACGTAGTCCCGATATACAAGAAAGGGGATAGACAGGAGGCACTGAACTACAGGCCAGTGCCCCTAACCTGCATACCATGCAAGCTGATGGAGAAGATTGTGCGAAAAAAACTAGTGGAGCATCTGGAGCGAAGGAACTTTGTAACACAGCATCAACATGGGTTCAGGGATGGCAGGTCCTGCCTCACAGGGTTACTTGAATTCTACGACCAGGCAACAAAAATAAGGCAAGAAAGAGAAGGGTGGGCAGACTGCATATTTTTGGATTGTCAGAAAGCCTTTGATACAGTGCCACACAAGAGGCTAGTGCGAAAGTTGGAGATGCAGGCTGGAGTGAAAGGGAAGGTACTCCGGTGGATAGAGGAGTACCTAAGCAACAGGAGACAACGAGTCTGTGTGAGGGGTGAGGTCTCAGATTGGCGAGACGTCACAAGTGGAGTCCCGCAGGGGTCAGTCCTTGGACCTATACTGTTTCTGGTATATGTAAATGATCTCCCAGAGGATATAGATTCGTTCCTCTCAATGTTTGCCGACGATGCAAAAATTATGAGGAGGATTGAAACAGAGGATGATAGTAGGAGGCTACAAGATGACCTGGATAGACTGAGTGAATGGTCCAACAAATGGCTGTTGAAGTTCAACCCGAGTAAATGCAAAGTAATGAAACTAGGCAGTGGAAACAGGAGGCCAGGCACAGGATACAGAATAGGAGATGAAGTACTTAATGAAACAGAGAGAAAGATGTAGGAGTTGATATCACACCAAACCTGTCTCCTGAAGCCCACATAAAGAGAATAACGTCTGCGGGATATGCGAGGCTGGCTAACATCAGAACGGCGTTCAGGAACCTGTGTAAGGAATCATTCAGAATCTTGTACACCACATATGTAAGACCAATCCTGGAGTATGCGGCCCCAGCATGGAGCCCGTACCTTGTCAAGCACAAGACGAAGCTGGAAAAACTCCAAAGGTATGCCACTAGACTAGTCCCAGAACTAAGAGGCATGAGTTATGAGGAAAGGCTGCGGGAAATGCACCTTACGACACTGGAAGACAGAAGAGTAAGGGGGGACATGATCACAACCTACAAAATCCTCAGGGGAATCGACCGGGTAAACAAGGATGAACTATTGAACACTGGTGGGACGCGAACAAGGGGACACAGGTGGAAGCTGAGTACCCAAATGAGCCACAGAGATGTTAGAAAGAACTTTTTCAGTGTTAGAGTAGTTAGTAAATGGAATTCACTAGGAAGTGATGTGGTGGAGGCTGACTCCATACACAGTTTCAAATGTAGATATGATAGAGCCCAATAGGCTCAGGAATCTGTACACCAGTTGATTGACGGTTGAGAGGCGGGACCAAAGAGCCAGAGCTCAACCCCCGCAAGCACAATTAGGTGAGTACACACACACACACACACACTGGAGACTGAAGCTGGAGAATATAAAACCCTTGGCACTCACCAGTCGGGTACAAACACCAAGGGTAACTAATTGTTGCGTGTTAAGAGTGCGTCTCCAGCCATCATCTATACAAGAGTTTCCTTCCAGATTATTTTCTTTCGTTAATCCCCCCCACCCCACTAACTACCTAACAACCAGCTTCTTTTCTCGGTCACACAACGAGCCGCTTCCTTATGGGTTCATATTACAGCCGTGATCCCCTGGAGGGGCTCCACGCCCCCCAAAATATCCAACCCTGCAATAAACCGACTTTAATATATACGTAATGGCATATCCGAAGGTTTGTAATGGAAAGGCCGGTTGTTCATAAAAATTAATTTCAGTCACGAGATGTGCTTGCGGGTGTGTGGTGGTGAGGAGGGGGGGGGGATGGTTGGAGGGGATGGGGAGTGGGGGGGGGGTGAATGGTTGGAGGGGAGGGGGGGGTTGAAGGGGAGACGAGGGGGGTTGAATGGAAGAAAAGTATTATTTGGAAGGGAAGATTGAGGGGGGGGAGGGGGAAGTGAAACTGAGGGGAAACGTTCTTGTTTCTCCTTCAGACGGTGACCACACATTTAAATGTTCACGAGCATAAATTGAGAAAAAGGGTGAGAGAAAACTGACAAGGAAATGCTGCCGGATGGAATGGGGGTGAAAGGGTTGAGGTACTGATAAAATACTCGTGTGTCCACAATGTTATACATCATTGTTCTTGTTCTTGTTAAAGATTCGCTACCTTGAACAAAGTTCAAAGTAGCACGGGCAATGGTGAGCCCGTAGATATATTTATACATTAGCTGCTGGTCTCCACATTTCCAGTTGATCTTCACGTTATGTAAGGAGTTAACTTTTACTGCCTCTTCTTCCCTTTTACTCCCTTCCTCCTTAACTTCCTTTTTACTTTGTGCTGTCTCAGGGGATCTATGTTCTCGCGAACTTTGTTCTTTGTTGTTGAACACAATGTTCTCGTGTTCTTTGACGATATAACTGATGATAACACGAGCACAGCAGACTTTTTGAAAGATAAATTATGCCCGTGCACTTGGTCAAGGTTTCTGAGAGTGAAGCGGCCCTTGTGATGGCAGGGTGGCACTGGTGATGGCAGGGTGGCACTGGTAATGGCAGGGTTATCTTGAGGTTATCTTGAGATGATTTCGGGGCTTTAGTGTCCCCGCGGCCCGGTCCTCGACCAGGCTTCCACCCCCAGGAAGCAGCCCGTGACAGCTGACTAACACCCAGGTACCTATTTTACTGCTAGGTAACAGGGGCATAGGGTGAAAGAAACTGCCCATTGTTTCTCGCCGGCACCTGGAATCGAACCCAGGACCACAGGATCACAAATCCAGCGTGCTGTCCGCTCGGCCGACCGGCTCCCCCAGCTCCGACCAGGGTGGCACTGGTGATGGCAGGGTGGCACTGGTGATGGCAGGGTGGCACTGATGATGGCAGGGTGGCACTGGTGATGGCAGGGTGGCACTATAGATGGCACTTACTGGGTTCTGAGAGTGAAGGCAGCACTGGTGATGGCACTTACTGGGTTCTAAGAGTGAATGCAGCACTGGTGATGGCACTTACTGGGTTCTGAGAGTGAATGCAGCACTGGTGATGACACTTACTGGGTTCTGAGAGTGAAGGCGGCACTGGTGATGGCACTTACTGGGTTCTGAGAGTGAAGGCAGCACTGGTGATAACACTTACTGGGTTCTGAGAGTGAAGACAGCACTGGTGATGGCACTTACTGGGTTCTGAGAGTGAAGGCGGCACTGGTGATGGCACTTACTGGGTTCTGAGAGTGAATGCAGCACTGGTGATGGCACTTACTGGGTTCTGAGAGTGAAGGCAGCACTGGTGATGGCACTTACTGGGTTCTGAGTGTGAATGCAGCACTGGTGATGGCACTTACTGGGTTCTGAGAGTGAATGCAGCACTGGTGATGGCACTTACTGGGTTCTGAGAGTGAAGGCAGCACTAGTGATGGCAGTTACTGGGTTCTGAGAGTGAATGCAGCACTGGTGATAACACTTACTGGGTTCTGAGAGTGAATGCAGCACTGGTGATGGCACTTACTGGGTTCTGAGAGTGAAGGCAGCACTGGTGATGGCACTTACTGGGTTCTGAGAGTGAAGGCAGCACTAGTGATGGCACTTACTGGGTTCTGAGAGTGAATGCAGCACTGGTGATGGCACTTACTGGGTTCTGAGAGTGAAGGCAGCACTGGTGATGGCACTTACTGGGTTCTGAGAGTGAAGGCAGCACTGGTGATGGCACTTACTGGGTTCTGAGAGTGAAGGCAGCACTGGTGATGGCACTTACTGGGTTCTGAGAGTGAAGGCAGCACTGGTGATGGCACTTACTGGGTTCTGAGAGTGAAGGCAGCACTGGTGATGGCACTTACTGGGTTCTGAGAGTGAAGGCAGCACTAGTGATGGCACTTACTGGGTTCTGAGAGTGAATGCAGCACTGGTGATGGCACTTACTGGGTTCTGAGAGTGAATGCAGCACTAGTGATGGACGAAGGAAGTTTCAGACCTTTGATAATTTCTTGCCAGAGTTTCTTGTTGATGACGTCGACCAGACCCCCGCGAGCCACCACCAGGTTGTACAGTTCATACAGGTCCAGAACCTGCTTGGCCATGATGGGCAGCCGGTTGATGGGCGTACCTGATGGGCAGAGAGTAAGGTGTTAGTGGTGCATGGTCGTGATGGGCAGCCGGTTGATGGGCGTACCTGATGGGCAGAGAGTAAGGTGTTAGTGATGCTTGGCCATGATGAGCAGCCGGTTGATGGGCGTACCTGATGGGCAGAGAGTAAGGTGTTAGTGGTGCTTGGTCGTGATGGGCAGCCGGTTGATGGGCGTACCTGATGGGCAGAGAGTAAGGTGTTAGTGGTGCTTGGTCGTGATGGGCAGTCGGTTGATGGGCGTACCTGATGGGCAGAGAGTAAGGTGTTAGTGGTGCTTGGTCGTGATGGGCAGCCGGTTGATGGGCGTACCTGATGGGCAGAGAGTAAGGTGTTAGTGGTGCTTGGCCATGATGGGCAGCCGGTTGATGGGAGTACCTGATGGGCAGAGAGTAAGGTGTTAGTGGTGCTTGGTCGTGATGGGCAACCGGTTGATGGGCGTACCTGATGGGCAGAGAGTAACAGCACTACAAGAAGAGGTGCTAGAAGCAGAGGTGCCAGAAGCAGGTGTCAGTAACACAAGCAGAGGTACCAGTTACACAAGCAGAGGTACCAGTTACACAAGCAGAGGTGCCAGTAACACGAGCAGAGGTGCCAGTAACAAGCAGAGGTACCAGTTACACAAGCAGAGGTGCCAGTAACAAAAGCAGTGGTGCCAGAAGCAGAGGTGTCAGAATCAGAGGTACCAGTTACACAAGCAGAGGTGCCAGTAACACAAGCAGTGGTACCAGAAACAGAGGTGCCAGTAACAGAGGTGCCAGAAGTAGAGGTGCCAGTAACAGATGTGCCAGAAGCAGAGGTGCCAGTAACACGAGCAGAGGTGCCAGTAACAAAAGCAGTGGTGCCAGAAGCAGAGGTGTCAGAATCAGAGGTACCAGTTACACAAGCAGAGGTGCCAGTAACACAAGCAGTGGTACCAGAAACAGAGGTGCCAGTAACAGAGGTGCCAGAAGTAGAGGTGCCAGTAACAGAGGTGCCAGAAGCAGAGGTGCCAGTAACAAAGGTGCCAGAAGCAGAGGTGCCAGTAACAGAGGTGCCAGAAGCAGAGGTGCCAGTAACAGAGGTCCCAGAAGCAGAGGTGCCCGTAACATGAGCAGGGGTGCCAGAAGCAGAGGTGCCAGTAACAGAGGTCCCAGAAGCAGAGGTGCCCGTAACATGAGCAGGGGTGCCAGAAGCAGAGGTGCCCGTAACATGAGCAGGGGTGCCAGAAGCAGAGGTGCCAGTAACAGAGGTGCCAGAAGCAGAGTTGCCAGTAACACGAGCAGAGGTGCCAGAAGCAGAGGTGCCAGAAGCAGAGGTGCCAGCTTGCATGGGTCATCAAAAGTATCACGAGTGACAAATGAAGTCCGGACGATGCCAGAGTGACACTGTTATTAATGGACCAACAACAATTAGTGCCGCTCCCAGCCTGGCTGGGTAGGGGGAGGGGGGAGGGGGTGGCAGGTGGCACTGGGGTGGTGGCAGGAAGGATGGCAGGCGGCGGCAGAGGCCGGGGAGCCAATATCACTCCAGCTCACCACTCGCCTGATTAATGGTGTTCACCCGACATGGTAACGACACACATTTTATACATAGTCCCTGGGTAAGTGTCGACGGCCCACCATCACTGTTGTTGTTGTTGTTGTTGTTGCTTTTAGATTAAGCTCCTCGGAACCAAGAGTTCCAAGTAGCACAGGCTATGGTGAACCCGTAGTGCCTTACCTGGCACAGGAGTGGGGGCTGTAACTGTGTGCCAGCATCACCATCTCTCCGTCACTCCGCCTCATCTTCCAACTTACCATTCCATACAGCCACCAAACCCTACTCTTTATGAATAAAAAAACGGTTTACACACACGACTCTATACTGATGACGTTCGAACATTTCTCGAGGAGAGCTTCGCTGACGACCTCTGTTCGAACCACAACGTTGACGACCTCTGTTCGAACCACAACGCTGACGACCTCTGTTCGAACCACAACGCTGACGACCTCTGTTCGAACCACAACGCTGACGACCTCTGTTCGAACCACAACGCTGACGACCTCTGTTCGAACCACAACGCTGACGACCTCTGTTCGAACCACAACGCTGACGACCTCTGTTCGAACCACAACGTTGACGACCTCTGTTCGAACCACAACGCTGTAAATACTTCACCCACGTACTTCAAATATAAATAATTGCCAAGAGAACTGTTACATCTAACATATGCCTAAGTGCACATAGAAGTTTTATAATAATATAACATATCGATGAGAACAAACCTATATTTATTAATATATTTTAGTACGATAAAATTGATGAACGCGTCTTGGGGGTCGGCCGCAGTTTTAACGAGCTTAGCCTGAGGACGGGTAGCCAAATACTTCATGTTCTTCAAATACAAATCATCGCCAACAGAACTCAGAACACCTTCCCTAACCTACGCCTAACCATACATTGAACATAATAATAATAATAATATTATTATTATTATTTTATAAGAGAACAAACCAATTGTTAATAGACAATACATTAAAATTGATGAATGCCTCTTGGAGGAAGGGCCCCGCTTTAACGAGCCTGGCCTGAGGTCACCTTGACGAATAATAAATACCTAAATCAATGTAGCCAAAACACCCAACCTTACAGTACATATTTATTACTTTTTATTGAGAAAATACAGCTATATATAATACCCTACTACGACCCCTCTAACAGATACATTAATCAACAGACTCAACAACAGTATAAAATCATACAGAATCAACAAGTCACGTCGATGATACAAGTTTAAGGACGTGTCCTTAAACTGTCAAGTGTACGCCACTACATCAAGCTGGGTATACATTTTGGAGTATGTATCCATTGCAGTGATATACCGGGTTGTTGTTGCTAGCACTCTGCACATGATCTCAAGAGGCCAAGTTGGGTAAGATTGTGTGTGTCAATGTCTCGTGATGGCGGGCCGCCCGAGGCAATATGGCGGCCTCGCCCGAAACAGTCTTAGCTAGAATGACCAAAAAATTAAAATTGCCCAATTAACAAGGCCATTATGTGATTGTGTACACGCGGGAGCCTCAGTTACAGGTCCCAGAGATAATGGATCGCTCTGGGTGGGCTGTGGGCGGGTGGTGAGGGCTGTGTGGGCGTGGGTGGTGAGGGCTGTGTGGGTGGGTTGGTGAGGGCTGTGGGTGGGCTGGTGAGGGCTGTGGGTGGGTGGGTGAGGGCTGTGGGTGGGTTGGTGAGGGCTGTGTGGGTGGGTGGTGAGGGCTGTGGGCGGGTTGGTGAGGGCTGTGTGGGCGGGTTGGTGAGGGCTGTGTGGGCGGGTTAGTGAGGGCTGTGTGGGCGGGTTGGTGAGGGCTGTGTGGGCTGGGTGTGAGGGCTGTGGGCGGGTTGGTGAGGGCTGTGGGGCGGGTTGGTGAGGGCTGTGGGCGGGTGGTGAGGGCTGTGTGGGTGGGTGGTGAGGGTTGTGGGCGGGTTGGTGAGGGCTGTGGGCTGGTTGGTGAGGGCTGTGTGGGTGGGTGGTCAGGGCTGTGTGGGCGGGTTGGTGAGGGCTGTGTGGGCGGGTTGGTGAGGGCTGTGTGGGCGGGGTGGTGAGGGCTGTGGGCGGGTTGGTGAGGGCTGTGTGGGCGGGTTGGTGAGGGCTGTGGGCGGGTTGGTGAGGGCTGTGGGCGGGTTGGTGAGGGCTGTGTGGGTGGGTGGTGAGGGTTGTGGGCGGGTTGGTGAGGGCTGTGGGCTGGTTGGTGAGGGCTGTGTGGGTGGGTGGTGAGGGCTGTGTGGGCGGGTTGGTGAGGGCTGTGGGTGGGTGGTGAGGGCTGTGGGCGGGGTGGTGAGGGCTGTGGGCGGGGTGGTGAGGGCTGTGGGCGGGGTGGTGAGGGCTGTGGGTGGGTGGTGAGGGCTGTGGGCGGGTGGTGAGGGCTGTGTGGGTGGGTTGGTGAGGGCTGTGGGCGGGGTGGTGAGGGCTGTGTGGGTGGGTTGGTGAAGGCTGTGGGGTGGGTTGGTGAGGGCTGTGGGCGGGTTCGTGAGGGCTGTGGGCGGGTGGTGAGGGCTGTGGGCGGGTTGGTAAGGGCTGTGGGCGGGTTGGTGAGGGCTGTGGGCGGGTTGGTGAGGGCTGTGGGCGGGTTGGTGAGGGCTGTGGGCGGGTTGGTGAGGGCTGAGGGCTGTGGGCGGGGTGGTGAGGGCTGGGGCGGGTTGGTGAGGGCTGTGGGCGGGTTGGTGAGGGCTGTGGGCGGGTTGGTGAGGGCTGTGGGCGGGTTGGTGAGGGCTGCGGGTGGGTTGGTGAGGGCTGTGGGCGGGTTGGTGGGGGCAGTGGGCGGGTGGGCGAGGTACCAACCATTATGGAAAGGACGAATACCAGAGGAACCAGACCAGACCTCCAGTTGTGCCGTTTCTCACAGTTTTCAACACCTGGGATGTAATGGATAACTGGAGTGTGTGTACTCAATAGCTGGAGCACATGTGATCAGTAACTGGAGCACGTGTACTCAATAACTGAAGCACATGTGATCAGTAACTGGAGCGCGCGTACTCAATAGCTGGAGTGCGCGTACTCATTGGCATGAGCTACACCTTGGGTGCATTACCCTACACCAGCCTACAATAGGCTGCTACTCTACGTCCTAAGAGCTTGTCTCTCACCTAACACGTCGCATTTTTTTGACGAAATCTACAAATCTATTAAAACTGTAATGTATTAGTAACATTGAAGCACCGTAATGTGTACGTTTTCTATACATTAGCCTCGACAGGTTACGTGGGCTTTGCTTGGGTTGTAAAGTATATGGTTAGGGGGGGGGGGGGAAGTTAACATTAACCTGCCTTTAAGGTGGTGTCATTGACGCCTCAAGGAGCAGACATCTCTCTTGTCTCATCTTCCCAGTCATCATTGTGTGGCCACAACCACCCGATCAAACACTACCACCGCCCATTATCCCGCCCTCGCCACACACCCACACCCGCCCTCGCCACACCCACACCCGCCCTCGCCACACCCACACCCGCCCTAGCCACACCCACAC